CCTCTCATTGGACAGGCCCCCTCTTGTGGCCCAGAAGTTAGCTCAGAGGTAATCACTGCATCATGCTTCAAAGCCACTGAGCCAGCTCCTAATGGGAGGGCGGCAGCTTTCACTTACCTTGCCTGGCCACCTTCCCAGGGCAGAAGAGAGGCAGCTGGGGAGTCCCAGCACCTCCTCTCCCTCTCTCCCTCCCTTCCGGAAGTTGTTGTCACTTTTCTCACCTCCCTTCACCTCTGCTCTGGTCGAGGGGCAGGGGAGATGATTCTACCCAAATCAGGAAAAGAGAGAGCTCACTAAGAGAGCTCAGAAACCATGCCTTTGATCAAAAGGCAAAGACTCTGTGTGCCCGGGGCGCAAACCCAGACTCTATGAATGCGTGTTGGGAGGGGACATCTGAGGGGCAACTGCTGGGGATAGGGGCATAGGGAGTGGTGAGTGGTGGCCTGTAAAGGGGCTGAGGTGGGGGTTTCACTGGCATCACTAGGGTTGGTGTCATGCAATATGGTAACTCACAACCTCATGGACCTTCTTCTATACCAGACCACACAGAATCCTTAAAAAGTTTACTACTCATTTTAATCATAGAGTGATATGTGATAAATATAGTTGTAAATTACTTAAATGTAATATTTCTTATACAAATAAGCCAACAAAACCAAACTCACTGGTGTCGAGTCGTTTCCGACTTATAACAACCCCTCCTTGGGTTCCCGAGGCAGTATGTCTACGGAAATAGATTGCCCAACTTTCTTTCCGAGGAGCCGCTGGTGAGTTTGAACTGCCAGCCTTCTGGTTAGCAGTCAAATGCCTTAGCCACTATTGCCACTTACACAAATACTAGCAACAATATTACAAAATCTACATTGAATTACAACATTATTAGTTACAATCTTAGCAACTGAATGGAAGCCTTTTTAATTTTTTCTCCTTTTCCTTTAAAATCTATTTCATTCTCAGAAAAGTTATTGATTCACAAATACTACTTACCACAATATTTTCACTAAAACATCAAAAAATCTGACAAAATCAGAGACTATAAAAACATTGGCGGTGGCAAAAACAAATGTGTGCTTGTGGTGTGTGCAGATAAAACCATGTGATTCAAAGTGTCATTCTAATTGGGTAATAATGACAGCTCTGACCAGCGCATATTAGAAGGTTCTAAATGCAAATTAGTTTAGAGTTTAAGCCTTGTAGGTATATTGACACATGTAAGCTGGGCTTATGGAAAAGGTTTTTGTTGTTATAACTAACTACATGGATATTTTTATGGAAAATCATAAATTTCTGCTGAAACACTGCACAAAAATTTTATAAACAGTCATTTTGATGTCATCTCTTCTGAAAGTTCACCTGGTACGGTCTGCACCCCCTACACCCCTCTAGTGATGCCACTGGGGGTGGTTCGAAATGGAATGAGAGAGTAGGAAGAGTGTGTTAGGGAGCTTGCCTTCCTGGAGGGTAGGGTAAAGGTGGGGTGGTAAGGAACAGGGGAGACACATGCCTCTCCTATTTTGACTCCTGAAAATGCAGTTTGACCCACTAAATCTACGTCCAGCTCTATGCAGAATTCTGCTGATGTTCTCAACCCTTTTGCTTAGAGTCACCCTTACTTCAAGAGAGCGTTGGTTTGTGCGTGGCAGGGGACAGGTCCTCTGTATGTGCAGCTGGCTCTGAGGATGCTCCAGGAAAGCTGCTGCCCTCTAGTACCTGTCTGGTCCCCCTTGCTGGTCAGCTCCTCAGATCCTTCTCCCATGCCTCACCCTGAAGAAGCTGTGGCTTTAAGTGCTGAAGAATTGGGGAAAAGGGACTATATAGAGAGACTGTGGCTTTCTAGGCCAGGAGAAACCTATGAAGAGTGTTTGGGGTTAGGAGTCGGGCCCACCAGGGAATTAGACTCAAGCAAGAAGAGACTCCACGGGGCCTCTGATATTATTCCTAGAAACTGGGACAGACCCAATCACCCAAGAGAATCCATTCCCATTAGAAACAGCAATCCTGCTGCTTATGGTCACGCAGCTGTAGGAAGGTAGGTGGTGGTGGTGGTGGCGATAGCTATAGGCATGGTGTCATGGCGGTGGTGATTATGGAGATAGTAAGATAGTAAGTAGTATGATGGTGTGGTAGTCAGTGTAATACTTGTGATGACTGTAGTAGTGGTAGTGATGGTAGTGATAGCTGTGGAGGTTCTGGTGGTAATAATGACAATGATGGTCATGGTCATGTGGTCATGGTGGTGCTGATGTTGGTGTATGTAGGTGGTTGTGATGGTGGTGGTGGTAGTCATGGTGATGGTGGTCATAGTGCTACTGGTGTTGGTGCAGGTGGTTGTAATGGTGACAACAGTAATGATAATAGTCATTGCAGTGATGATGGTGATCTTAGCAAAGGAATATCCTGACCACAGCTATGCTATCTACAGTAAGGTCAGACAAAGTTGTCACATTATAAAATAGAATGTCACATCAAATAATAACATGCTGGAGCATCAGTGCCATAAGAGTAGTTTCTTTTGTTCACTGCTGACTCCCCAGTGCCCAGAACAGTAAGTGGCATACAGTAGGTTCACAATAGATACATGTTGAATGAATAAAAGGAGATTGAGTGCCTCCTTATAATGTCACCTCCTTTAATCCTCATCCTGCCCCTTCAAGATAAGATCTTTAAATCCCCATGTTATAGATAAGGAAAGTGAGGCTGAGAGAGATGAAGTAACCACACAGGAACAAGTAGGGAGCTGGGGGAGGGAGCAGGCATTCCTACTCAGGCCTGTCTGACTCCCAGAGCAGTGCTCTTCCTGGTACACACTTCAACACCACTTTCCCTGCCAGCACTCAGCACTACGTCATGATCTCGTGCTGGGTTTAATCATAGAAATACTGCTAATAATAGTAACAATTGTTGTTTGTAATTGTTCAGTAAGACTTAAATGATCAAGACCATGGAAATCATTAATAACTCAGGCCCAGCCATGGTTCTGTGGGTCATATTAAACAGTGTTGAGATGGATAACCTTGGCAATAATAATAACCGGGTTCATAGATTAATAACAAGAGTATTTAAATTGATGCCACCCTGTTGATACTCTTAAAACAGCAGCTCAGTGCTGCTGTTAATACCAATATTGCCCCTTCCTGTCTTCCATGAATTCCACTGAGAGGAAAGACAGGTCTATAAAGGCAGTGGGAGGAGGCAGCATCTTAGAGGCGGGCCCTGTCTGGGAGAAATGAATCCCCTGGGACTGCTGAAGGGGTGCACAGTGCTCCGCCCCTTATGCCTGGCCACGGAGGTGGTGGCTCATCACCATTAATGCTCAAGGCCACAATGATGTCTACTCGTCCCTTCCAGGGCTGTCCCCCAGCCGTTGCTGGTTATGCTGGAAAGATTTTCAGAGGGTAGATTTTTTTTTCCTCATGAATGAATGAATTAGTGCCAGCTGGTCTAGGTCACCATGAGTTGGAATCAACTGCACAGGAATGTGTCTGGTTTTGATTTTTTGGGTCTTGGAAGTCACTAACCAGTGTTCTTGATTTCTCCCTCATTCCTATAATTCAGGGGAGTGGTGTCATCATTTTTCCAAAGATGAAACTGAGGCCCGGATATGGCCAAGGAGAGGGTGCTGAGGATGGTTTGTGTGGGTTAGTTCCCTGCAGCTCTGTGCTCTGAGGACCTCGTGTCTGGGGACCAGGACAGTGTGGGAGTGATGGGGACTGAGCATCAGGGATTGGTGCCCTTAGCACACTCCCTGGCTTGGAAGGGCCTTTGATTTGGACCTACTAAGTTTTCTAGGGCATAGCAAGTGTGGTCCAGGGGACAGAGTCTGTCCTAGCACCCAAAGAGTAGAGTACATGGGTGGGTGGGTGGAGGGAGTGTGAACATCCGTGAGCCCATCAACTACTTATCCGTTTAGTTCATTCTTTATTGAACACCTACTGTATACTGGACATTCAAACAGGAAGCCAGTCTGTATGTCTGTTTCTCAACTCGAACAATTTAACGAAGATCTAAATAAAATTCTAGGCTCTACCTTAAAAAAATAAAAGAATCTATAGTCTCTGCCTGCCAGGAGCTTTGCTTTAATGAAAACACAGTCTATGGAAGTCATTGTTGAAGATGTATCTGTGTGTGAAGGTATGTGTTCGCGCATATGTAAGAGACTGTATACAGGGCTTATGCGGACGTAACCGTTCGTATGTGACATTGTATATGTGCATACATGAATGTGTAGTTGAATATATGTCTGATTGTTATGTCCACATGTGCCATGAGGGTGCATGTGTGCATGAGTGTGGAGATGCATATAGATGTTGATGGCTCTTCATCTACGTTGTGCAGAATGTGCAGGTACACATTGATTGATGTGTGGGTGTAGGTGAGTGCATAGGTACAGGTATACTTGAGCTTCAGAATGGATTTCTGCGTATTCTTGTGTTTTGTGTGCACACCTGTGGTCCCTTCAAACCCATCATTTGAGAATTCAAATGATGTCAGGGTGGACTCCATCCCGAACGTCTTCTCTGCAGCCCTCCTCCCAGGTCACCTGCTATCTCTCCCTTTCCCCTAGACATTTGCACCGAGAAGGGTGGGTAGAGAGCAAGGCACCACGGAGAAGCTGAAGCCTGAGGAGAAGGAAGACGGGTAGGATAGTGAACCTGCGGCGGGCC